GATAGGTGGGTTAACTGTAAACAGCCAGAGAAAGAGGTGGGTATACCCTCCACTACACCACTGCTTATAAATATGTAATTCTGATGAACAAGGATGAGTTTTAAGAGGTTGAATCAATGCCTAGAGAGGAATGTTACACTCCCCCCTCGAAAATGGTCCAGATACACCCCTGTTCACACCTTCACAATAATATTAGTAAATCCAAAGTGAAGCGAGGCACATCAGCAGCAATGTATCCATATGCTCCTCACACAGTGGCTGGTCATTTCGAATTCCTCCTCAAGGCCACCGACATAAAACGCCTCACAGCTAGAACAACAAGCCTTGGACTTCTGCTCCTCAGCTGAAGCGCTCACAGTGGAAACATTAGCTCTGTGCCTGAGTCAAAGAGAATTAATACAGAAAAAAAAATCCTGGACCCTTGGGGAGGTGGGTTATAAAGTCATGGCTGTTTTTGTGATTCTACGCCATATTTCTCTCCACTGAACCAACCTTGATATCATCAAGGACAGAAATGAAACCCCTCTTATACCCAGTGTTTTCTTTCAATGAAGCAAACTCACATTTTACAGCTTTATTGTGACTTTGTTGCACGTGTGTGAAGCATGTTTCGACATTCAAAGCTTAAAGATACAGCAAATATCCAACAGGTACATTTCATTTATAAGGCAGCAGCACATTATACACACAGTACATGGTGCTCAGACCTGGGCTGAATTAATTTGTAAGTACAGTCGTGTTTATCGGATACATTAAGAAACACATACTTGAACCAGCAGCTGGATGTCTGGGGTCTCAGTAAGACTTGGATTTTTTCTCAGAGAGTATGCTACAATAATGTAAAGCAGTGTGCTTTTACCAAGATGTGCTTTCATAGTCTTAAAGAGGAGAGGGGATGCATCACAACAATGGATGTGGCTAATTGCTGGTCTTAAGAGCAAGCAAAACAGCAGAGTTCGTAGGCAAAGCAAGATAAGGCACACAAAACAAGGCACAAAAACACTTCTGCTATAACTATTAAATCAGATTTATACAGATAAATATATTAATGGTTTGCTCGACATTAAGAAAAACCCACACAAGCTTTGATTTTGTGAATTTTGGTCGACTCCTGTAAAAGCTACAATAATTCAGGAAACCAAGACAGAAAACGAGTCACACGCTTCGTTTCGTTTTACCGAGGGAATTTTCATGAGATAAACGTATAAATGCATGGTCATGAGCGGATATTTACAGTATGAACATTAAGTTCCATTAAACACTAAAAGGCATGTTGTGTAGATACAGCCTGTCGTGTTCACGTCAGCCGTTGCCTTGGAGCCCTCTGCCCAGTTTTTTACATGTACTAGTATTAAAGACAAGGTGAGAACATGCCAGGTTGACAATACTATATACAGTATTCGACGACACCTCCACCATGAGACGCAGCATCGCAGCTGGAGTAAGTGTCAGGTGTAATAATAGATTCCCAAGGACAAAGTTCAGCTTTGAATAACACACTGTTTTGACATTGACGCCTCGACAAACTCAGTCACCTTGTCAAGGAGAAAATACTTTGATTCAGTATCTTTTTTGTGGTGAGTTACACAGGATGATCCCTGAGAGGTTATTCAGTATTCTACATGGGTTTTTACTGCCAATGACACAGAGTATTCACAGATTTACAATACAGCAAAGCACCAAATTACAGTTCACATAAAACACACCCAGTTTAAAACACTCTTAATGCAGTTTGTTCCTAAAACAATCAGGGATAATTACTTGTTTTCAGTCTGTGCACACAATACCGGTTGATCTTTTTCTGCATGTGAGAACTATTTTAATGAGTTTTATGTAAAAGTCTAGAGCAGGTAAACAAAATGTGATCAGGCTACATAATAAAATACTTTTGGGTTTCTTGTCTGGACATCTTTCATCGTAGTTGTGCTGCTGATATCAACAGTGTGCGAAATAATATTAAAAGTATGTTTGAGTTTCAGCTTTCAGATCTTAGCTTTATACAGTCTATACATTATAAAACACTATACAGAGGTTTAGTAACCAGCTGGGCTGTGACCCCAGAGACACCTTTACACTTCACAATCACTGTCTCACAGGCTTTTAATCTAAACTTTAAAGTATATGTCAGGTATTATTCCATACTTTTATAAATGTCAACAAATCCCACAGGAGGAAAACTCAATCTCTCTGACTTCTGTACTGTATGTAGATCCCCGCTCAGGGCACATTCATTGTCACTAAAGACACAGTAGAACCTGTAGAAAAAGGTCACATATATATATAGCTTCATACTTATTTTTTGTGACGTCTTATTTTCAGACAGCTGGGTGCTGTAGATTTTCGCAAAGTCAGTTCCATATTTTTGGGGCAACTATTTTCAGCAGTGGATTGATACATATCTGGTGGTCAAGTGAGTATTTCTGGCAGCAGGAGGGTGCATGTGTGATTAATTTAAAGAAAGATGATGTGCCTATAGGGCTGTACTGAATGGTTTAAAGATTTGAAGCTTCATTCATAACACTGACATTTGAATTCTAAATCAACATTCACTGTTTTTGCTATTTTATTCCGTTTAAAGTGTCATACTATTTGTAGAAGTAGAGTCCAGTGGTGCTGCATACTCGTGTGATCCAAACATTTTCAGTAACTCCCGAGCGCAGTGAACTCCAAAAGTCGAAATTCATTGAAAAAAGACAGATTCCAAAATTTATCTGACAAAATGTTCTGCTTCAGTCCCTATTTGTTGTTGTTTAGCCCTCAAAAACAACATTCCCACTGCGGTCAAAAAAAGTTTGCTATCATGTACCTGTATTAATGAGGTCGTCTAGCAGCATAAATCACATTTATTCATTAAAGAAAGTTGATTTATTAAAAAGACTAACTTAATACATGGGTGGCACAGTGCTGCCAACACATTCTCACTCCGACCCCGTCACATATTGACGTTTTGGTCACGGACTTTCCACGTCCACATATGACGTGCAAGGTACCCAGGGTGTGTTGGTTGTTGACATTCTGGGACACTGTGTCAGGTTCTGCCACTTACATGTATTCTATACATGTATGTCTTCTTTCAAAATACACTGTTTTCACGGGAAATAAACGCACTACTTTGGTACAAAACTGCAAACTGACGTGTTTTTTCCTTCAGTAACAAATATGCATGTTTGCTGCGTTTCCCCGATGCCACCAGGCAGGCACCATTAAACTATAACTGCAACCCGTCGCTTATCATGCTGACATTAAAGGATGCATTTTTTTGTTGGTTTCTGACGCTGGAAGTCACTGCCCAAGCGCCAGATTTCAACAACTTGGGGTGAGACTGGGCCCATGGTGCAGTGGTTAGCATTGTCGCCTAGCAGCAAGAGGGTTCATGGTTCAAACACAAAGTGGAGGAGCCCTTCTGTGCAGAGTTTTCATGTTCTCCCCGTGTCAGCATGGGTTTTCTCTGGGTACTCCAGCTTCCTCCCACAGTCCAAATACATGCAGGTTAACTGGTGACTCTAAATTGTCCGTAGGTGTGAATGTGAGCGTGAATGGTTGTCTGTCTCTATGTGTCAGCCCTGTGATAGTCTGGTGACCTGTCCAGGGTGTAAACTGCCTCTCGCCCAAAGTCATCTGGGATAGGCTCGAGCGCCCCCGTGACCCCTAACAGGATAAGCAGTTATGCAAAATGAATGAATTATTCAATCCAATTAATCACTTTTTTAAATCTAGGACTTTTTTTTAAGGTTGATGACCAGTGTTGGGTAAGGGTTACTTTAAAAGTAATCAAAGTTTGTTATTGTGTTCCTTTTTAAAAAAGTAACCAGTTACTTTACTGCGTTACTCCCTGAGTAAAGTAACTCAATTACTTTAAAAGTACTTCCAGCGTTACTCCCTGAGAAAAGTAACTCAAGCACTTTTAAAGTACTTTTGAGTATTCTACATTTCCTATTGGTCAATGGACCACAGGGCACTAAGCCTACATTTTTTTGTCTCCAAAATTAAAGTTATGGACCACTTGCCCTTCACTGAGATCCAATTCTCCCATCACAGCCATCACTTTGACCAGTAGAAAGACAGAACGATCTGCTGCCGTAGACAACTGTATGACAACAACACCCCAGCGTTTTTAATATTTCCTCTAGGGATGTTACCACACAGAGTAAAAGGGGGAAATGATGGTGTGAAACAGCAGAGGCACTTTGTCAACCTGCTGAGTTAACGTTACTGTCATTTCAAACTCAACACTTGTTTCAAATTAAAAGCCCCTTATAACCTCGACTGAGAGAATCCCTCCATTTTCTAAATAGGCTTTTATTCTGAAACATTAGTCAGAACTTCCTGTGGAAGATACAGTAGCTTGATAGTTTACATATTGCGCTTCAAATGTAGCTCCTGCCATCTGCTGACGCTTTTAGGTGACTAAAACAACATGTCGGCTGGCACATGAACACACACACAATGACTCAAATAATAGTCAAAGTAATAAAACAGGACAAGAATAACCTGATGACATCACACACGCCGTGAAAGACGACGGGGGATAATTGGTGAGTACCAGCGTGTAGCGCGTACCAGGCATAATGCAAGTCCTGAGTCTGAAATATGTCTGTCAGCGAGTCCTACTCCACCTATTTAGACTCCACCGTAGACAACGGCAGCATTTCTCTGACCACGTAGCGAGCCACAAGCTCCGTGGCTTCTTTCAGACTGATAGGTTTAACGTATTAGAACCAAATGACAGCCAAGGACCAGAGTTCTAAAAGTAACGGAAGTAAGTGATGTCTTGTTTTAAAATGTACTTAAGTATTTGATTACTCAAACAGCAAACTAACGCATTAGGTTACTCGTTACTGCAAAAAGTAATCGAAGTACTCTAACGCGTTACTTGGTAACACGTTATACCCAACTCTGTTGATGACATCATAAAATATTGCAACAGACATTCGAAGCCTCATCTAGAAACCTCACTAGAAGCTTCTTATGTAAAAAAATGACATTCGGTACAGCCCTACTGCATATATTCATCACAATGAAGGAACATGCCATGTCAATGGTTTTTGGCCAATAGTAAAGAAATAACATATCACATCTCAACTGCACAGCGAATACCGGTTAGTAGGATCCATTCTGCGATGGTTTAGGTTTTTTTATGTGATTTGTTGACAATAAAAAATTGTAAATATCACAAGATGATCTTCTACATGAACCTGTTTTTGGATTCTCTGACCAACATGCTGGATGAATAAATAACTAGCCCTCTCTAGCCTTTCCCTCAGATGGCAGTGGTGACTTGAGTCAACCCAAGGTCATTGGAGTCCTCCCAGCCCTGATAGGGCATAGAGGACACGTCCATGGCTAGTCATACGGGTCTGGCATGCCTCATATCTGCCCGCGCTTCTGTGGGACACGTGTGGTCCCGTAAAGTGCTCCTCACCCGGCTCACCCCGTGAGAGTCTCCATGTCCTTGGGTGCCTGGGCAGCAAAAGTCTCTGAAGCACCTCTTGAAGTTCTCATCCAGGAAGGCGTAGAGGATGGGGTTGAGGCTGCTGTTGGTGTAGCCCAGTGCCACGCAAAAGAAGTAGGCAGCCATGACGGCGGTGGTCTCGGGCACGTTGCCGGACAGCGCCTTGACTAAGATAAAGATGTGGATGGGTGTCCAGCACACCACAAAGACGGCGACCACCACCAGAACCAGACGGGTGATACGGCGCAGGTTGCGGTCCTTCTCGCGTGAGCCTGATAGCAGGCGCACGCTCTTCAGCCGCATGACCATCAGAGAGTAGCAGACGGTGATGATGATGACGGGTGCCACAAAGCCGAAGATGAAGACGCAGATCTTCATCAGGGTGTCCCAGTAACTGTAGGGTTCAGGGAACTGCAGGGCACACTCTGTAGTCCCTGTTAGGTACAGGACAACACAGTTAGACGAACAGGTTGGATCGGTCAAATACAGACACAGAGTCATATTTTATTCAGGAGAAAATCTACAAGACTAAAGCTACATCCACACTGCAGGCCTCGGTGCTCAATTTGGCAGCCCAGTTGCTAAAAGAAAATGTTGGCATTGTGGATGGCAAGATATCTGCTGAGCTGCATTTCCAGCCTTGATTGTACCACCAAAAGCGGATATTTTAAGCCAAAGCATGTTTTTCTATCCATTACTGTGTGGTTTTTGTGCCTGACCACATGTTAACTACAGCAGCGTTGGTCTGAAAAAAGGTATTTGCACATCTAACTGTCTCGGAGGAGGGTGCGTCGGAAGATATTACTTGAGTCTTTGAACACAAAAATCCCACACACTCAGCTTCACAATTCATTAGTAACACTAATGTTTCGGTCCTTCTGGACCTTCGTCATGAGTGTTCAACACCATTATTTCTGACACCGAGCTTAAATAGAAACTGCCCCACCGATTTCACAGGTGTGAAGCATGGGCACCATATGTCACATATCCCACAAAGGAAAGAACAAAGGAACAAGAAAAACATAGAAAAAAACATAGAAAACTCAAGCTCTTAACACAGTAAAAGCTGTTTACAAGATTGTTAACAAAAAATGTTGAACATATGAGTGTACATAGCCTTGATTGTGTAAAGAGCTTGAGTTTTCTAGTTTTTTTTTTTTTTTTAATGTTTTTCTTGTTCCCTTGTTCCCTCATTTGTGGCATATGTGACACATGGTGCACAGGCTGTTGTCAACAATTGAGAAACCCCCACAGCTGATTAATTCCCTCACACCTGTGCACACCTGTGCACACCTGTGAAATGGGTGGAGCTGTTTCTATTTAAGCTCACTGTTGGAAATAATGATGTTGAACACTCTTGAGGAGGGTCCAGGAGGAGTTAGTGTTACTAATGAATTGTGAAGCTGAGCAAAAGCAGTGTGCGGTTCAAAAACTACAGTGTTGTTTCAGTGTGTTCACTATATACAAAAGTAACGTATCCATGGTGTGCAGAAACATACAATGCCAACACTTATTCTGGCGATCCTGTTAAATTCGGATTTATTGCTCAGATCAGTTTTTTGTTTGGCTCTTCAGATTAATCTTTAAATGTTGCCACTATCTGTTTCTGACCGTGAACTGGTCACCATCCTGAACGGGCCTGCATGCAAAACAGAGAAAGAACAAAGACATCAAACACAGCACGTTGTCGTATATGGAGGTTAACATGGAGGCCACCAAAGTCAGCCTTTATGGTTTCATTTGAGAGCTGATGTGCAGTGAAAGCCAGCATATTCATGAGCAGATGGTAATGAGGATGAGAGATAAGAGAAGGAGAAAGAGGGCCAAAATTTGATGGCTTTTTGTGGAGCAATGGCTGGTACTTCTGAACAGAGCTGTGGGTGTATGCAGAGTCAGAGCCAGGAGTGTTGGGATTGTGATGTGAATGGCTTCACCGAAACAGATTTCCATCCAAAATTTCAGGATGTCAAGGGCCACTTTTGACTACATCTGTCAGCATCTCTCCACAAGATACTCAGCACAGGCAAGTGATGTAGAAGTGGCATGGAATCTGATATGACTGTTCAGGCTGGGGTCACACTACAAAAACATTAGACCTGTTTCTGGATTAGGATTATGTATAAAAGTGCCCCATATAGTGCTGTTCACACTGGTATAAAAAAAAACAGATCTGAGGCCGATATGAGCAAAATTTGCTCAGTGACTTGCGCCACTTTTGCCTGCCTTGCTTATTGTTTATAAGCACTATATAAACATTTTTTTGTTTGAACAGTTTATAACACACTGTAATGTAGTTGTGCACGGCTTCAGGGACATATTTAAGTCTTAATTAATGTGCTATGTTTGTGCAACTTCTCCAGTGAAGACATATTTGGTGAAATTTTAACTGTGTTACATTATACTGGCATTCATACATCAGCCTCCACTTATTGGTTTCCCTGATGAGAGTTATAGTTGTTGAGAAATACATAACATGCACTATGTTATAGTGTGTTACAAACCAGTGGTTCCCAACTGGTGGGTCGCAGGTCCATTCTGAATGGACCGCAAGTGACTCGCAAATGTGTCAAGTTTGTAAAAACACACTTTATTTTTAAGTACAGTGAATTTCAAGCACAGAGCTTTTATTTTGAAGTGCCATTTCCTGCTGTAGAGTGAGTGACTAATGGACAGCTACCGACAGAGACAGCAAAAAAGCTCTACGACATGGCCAAACGCAAGTATGATACTTTATGTATTAAACTGTGTGGACCTTGAACTAATTGCTATGGAGAAATCTGGACCAGTGTTATAAACCATTAATTTAATTAAATTCTAAGTCCCCATATCAGTAGGACTCCTCCTCTGGGAGCCACAAGTGTCTGTGATAAATTTCCTGGCAACCCATTTAATATCTATTGAGATATTTCAGTCACTATAGAGAGGTAAAAGCCAGTATCAGATTCATCAGCTGGCCTGATGTCTCCAGACAAGTGCACTCTGCTTCATGATTGTCAACCTGAACAATAGATCAGACTGTCGCTGGGAGAAATAAATCCTTCGAGCTCTCTTCTCAACCTAGTAGGACCCATTATGCCTATCATTGCTCCATCTAGTCAGGTAGCTGTGATGTAGGGTCTCATCAACCCACAAACTATCCTCTTCAGGGAATCTGAAGGATGCTTCCTGCAGCTAATTTAGATAATTCAAGATAAGGATGTGTCGTGAAGTGGGCTTCAAGATTGAAATTGCCTATAAGAGACCCTTTGCAGCTGATAGATCTTTTGTCTGTGGAGCAGACGCAGAGACGGAACAAACCAGAGGGATGTGAGTAGAAACATGAAAGGTGACTGAGTCACAGCAGTGTGAATAAGGGTCAAAGTACCGTTGTTGGTCTTCGTTCCGCCGAGCGTCATGGCAGGGATCCCAGCAGCAGATGACAGCACCCATATGATCACATTTATGATCTTGGCCTTGACGGGCGTGCGAAAATCCAGGGCCTTGACCGGGTGGCACACGGCCACGTAGCGGTCCACGCTCATCATGGTCAAGGTGAAGATGCTGGTGAACATGTTGTAGTAATCGATGGAGATGAAGACCTTGCACGCCACCTCGCCAAACGGCCAGGAGCTGAGCAGGTAGTCGGTGCTCTGGAAAGGCATGGTGGTGGTGACCAGGGCGTCGGCCACAGCCAGGTTGAAGATATAGATGTTGGTGGCTGTTTTCATTTTGGTGTATCTGTTGTGGGTTGAAAAAAGAAAGCACGAAGAGGTCTGATTGTTATCTGGCTCATTTTTTTTGTTATTTAAATCTGTAAAAGTGGAACAAGGTTAATTAAATCACTTTTTAAGATAAGGATTAGTTACCATGGTGCTCAACTCTTTTACTGAACAGATTAATTAAAGCAGCTGAAATACTGTACATACACAGGTATAACACAGAGTAAAATAACAGACTTTTCATCATCTCTTTTGATCAATTCAAGGCTTTTAAATTTGTGTGATCTGACATTCACTTAAAGGTCCAGTGTGTAAGATTTAGGAGGATTTAGTGGCATATAGTGGTGGGGATTGCACATTGCAACCAGCTGACACTTGTCACAGCTAGAATTCCTTCAGCGTTCGTTGATCAGGAGGGTTTTCATGGGAGCCAAATTATCCGCAGAGGTCTCATCCTCTCTAAAACAAACTTACCCGGTGATTAAAACCACTAGAAACACTGAATAAAGTAGTTTAACATAAAAACGCTGCAGTTGCTCTGGCCGAAAATGTGATTGGCCAACCCAGTCTCACTCCAAAGTCGAAATCCGGCACTTGCGGTGTCAGACACTGACGAAAAAAGCCATCCTTTAACGTCAGCATGATATGTTGCCGGTCGCTGTTATAATTTAACGTTGCTCATTGGCATCAGGGGGAAATGCAGCGGGAAAAGAATGACAGTTAAGGCCGTGAAAGTTTGACTAGGGCGGGCAGGGGGCATGGTGAATGAGACGAACAAACGGCAACCTTCACCTGGGAGGCCGGTGTTCGCGTCCTGTAAGGTTATAAAGCCAAACCCTGTTCTTTTTTCCTTAACCTAACCACATACGTTACTTGTTGAAGGGAAAAAAAAAGGTCAGTTTACATAGTTGTACGATGTAGTGCATTTATTTTGAAAGAGACTGTATGTAAATATTACATTTCCTGTGAAAACCGAAGTGTATTTTGAAAGAAGACAATGCATGTAGCAGGCAGAGCTTGACACGGCGTTCCAGAACGTCAATAACTAATGCACTGAGGGTACCTTTCACGTCGCATCTGGACATAGAAGGTCCATGACAAAATGTCGATATGTGACAAGTTCAGAGTGAGAATGTTTTGCAACCTGGAATGGCCCTATCTAGAAACAATGTTTGATTTGTCCTGTCCGAGCTACTGTAGAAATATGGCAGTGCAGCATGGAGATGTCGGATGATATAAACGGCTCATTCTAAGGTAACGAAAACACAATGATTCTTATTTTCAGGTGATTTTACACTTAGGTAGACATTGCTATTATATTAAATTTCTGCCAACATTGCCTCTAAATCCTGCACTCTGGACCTTTAAAATGAAAATACCTCATTGAGACTTTAAACAGAGCCACATGACACTGAACAGAGGAGCCTTAAGAGGAAATACTGACATTACAATCACTGCAAATCTTGTTAGGATCTATAATGTCTTGTTATCACTGGTGGAAAAAAACAGCTTAGGATGCTGGATTCAGAGTCTGTTTACCAATAAATCATAAAAAGAAAACACCCAGAAACACGATATAAGGGCACAAACATTAAAACTCCAAAAATATACATGCAAACAAATGTAATTAGCCTATAGCTTCCCCTTTCTATTTTATCACCTATTTTTTTCCATGCATGGCCCCAAAGAGACCAGGATGTAAGTGATTCACAATTAAATACACACGTTTGCAGCAATTTTACTGCTGTCATGTCATCATGTTGTTCCAAAAATGAATACGCACTGAATTTCCTCTCCTATTATGAGCCAAACGCTCGTAGGTATGCAGGATTTCACACTGAGTGACATGCCTGGCATTGCTTTTGACACAATACGAACAGCTGACATATCCCAAAGCTGAAAACTCACCTAATGATGACATACATCACCAAACAATTGCCCGCCAAGCCCACCACAAACACCACGGAGTACACCGCGACTATGATGGGGATGATGGGCGACATGGGCTCGGGTTCAGCATCCCAGGTGCCGTTGAGTGTGTAGTTTAAGATGTCCAACGAGCCGGATGGCAAGGTGAAGTTTGGGAAACACTCCTCCAGCTGGCCTGAGGGACACCTGTCCTCTTTGAAGATGCGCACCACGTTGCTCTCCATGGTGCTGAGCGCTGCCTGCACCGGCCGGGCTGCTGCTGCTGTTGGGGGTGAACTGACCGTTCAGATATCAGCCCCAAAACAAGCTGGATTTCCGATGTCTGCTACAAAAAACTCACGAAGCAAATTTTTCTATTAGAGCAGATTATGGCTCCGGTGAAGAGGAGCGCAACAGCCCGCGCTCAAAGATATCATTACACAAGTGTAACACCACCTTACCTGTTCTCCTGCCTCCAGAAAAGTTCGGGTAAATACAAAGACACTGATTCAGAGTTTCTTACAGGACGATCAGCCTGAGATTAAATCCCGGATGCCGGAAATGTGGCAGAAACTAAAGGTTTGTGGGTGGTTGTGTGGATGAGAGGAAAATGCACTGCCTGTGCCACCGCTGCGTCCCCGAAGGTGCGCACTGGAAGCCCGCACTGCTCATTCAGTGACATCAGAGGCTGAGCCAACAGATATGACAGCCAGCAGAAGGGATCTAACCACATGTATCACAGTCAGCTGAAAATATAGTTACCTCATACATGTCACGCTTTATTTGATGCTTATGTTTTGCATTATTTCTGGTTAAATGAGCCACTAACGACGCCTCACACACTCAGAAGCTGTGGCCACTAAACATCTGCTCGCCTATTCAACCATATTAATTTTTTTCTTAATGTTCTGCTGATTTCACATACTGCCTATAAAGCCAACTGTGCTTTAATATCATGTGCACATCTTTCTGAAAATGTTTAAATTCCCATCAACGCTGCCATGAGATGTTCCCTGGCAACTCTTGTGAGAGCAACGGCTGCAGTGCAAACAGGAGTCCTATCAGATGTTGAAGAGGCATGAAGTCAGAAGGACTCTCAACAGAGACCTTCAGATGATGTGCCAGCTCCACCAAATTATAGGTAGTGTGCGGCATGTTTTGCAATTATTTTTTTTTTGCAAGAAAAGAGCCATTTTCATCATTTCCTTTCAGCTCTTCTTGCTCCCAACTTGCATCTTTCCATGTGCATTTTCTCTGTTTGATCAAATTAGTAATTTACCACTGCCTTAAACCATGAATCTACTAATTATCCAACACAAATGTGGCAGCACGAGAGCTCGAAACAAAAAGAAAATCTGCCTCTAAGGAATCACAGGCTACTCCTCTCTAACAAGTCTCTCCTTTTTTCTCACCCCAACAGATTTCAACCAGCACATAATTAAGTGGGTACTGTTCCCTTTCCCTCGTTTCATGCACTAACACTCGTTGCTTGGAGACCCATCATGGCCAGGTGTTACTTGAGTGACAAAGCCTTTCTGTAGGTGTGTTTCCATTGTTAAAAGCTGCACAGGCTGGACTTGGTGATACATGCCTTGTTTACAATATTTGATGCAACTTCACTGAGGTCCTTATCCTTGAAGCAGCAGCAGTAGTTAAAGGGTGAAACACATTTTCCTAGTATTAAAGCTCTAGAAGGTGGGAAAGAAAGATACAGATCACCCTCAGCCCCAACAATGCAGTGCCAAAGGTCTGTTTGCACAAAGATACTTCCTCTGGCACTTGACAGGTCTTTTTATTCGAGTTCCAGAGGAGGAGAGGAAATAGTCGTTATGTAACATCCGGACGATAAGGTCAAGAATAAATTCTTTTTTGCATTTCACTGCCCTTTCCATAATGACCTGCTGTCTTTTCAGTGAAACACTTCAGTTATGGTTCCTTGATGAATACAGGTGTTCAACACAAAGATATCAAAGCGTACTCATTTCAAATTTGGATTGAATGTTACTCTGCTTCTTGCTGAAGTTTTCTCGTGATGACACTAAACCAGGCTTTTTCAAGTGTGCTTCACCAGCTGATTACTGTCTCTCTTGTTCTGGTGTTTTTCATTTCTCCATCACGATTTAAAAAATTGTCACGGCCCTCCATGTGCATTGCTCGTTTCCTGTGAAATCCCTTGGACATTCATTGCCGTACGGCATCAACAAGAGAGAACCACCTCAATTTCAGAGAAGACTGTTCTTTTCTTCATCACCCACCTTGTTCTTTCTGGAATGGGCTGCTGTTTTCACAAAGGTCCAACTGGGATAACCACAAGTTTTTAGAGCCTCCATCAGATGTTCATGCTCTTTCCCTTGGGCCTGAGTACTGGTAGGTACGTTATCAGCTCTGTGTTGTAGGGTCCTGATAACCACCCACTGGAACACAAGCTAGGTGTTATCAGGACCCTACAACACAGAGCTGATAGCGTACCTACCAGTACAGCAACCTGTTCCAGAAAGAACAAGGTAGGTGATGAAGAAACAAACCCATTGTTTAACTTGCTCCTGAAACCTGGCCCCTCTTAAGTCCAAAACACACCGGTGGTGTCACATGACGGCTGCATCATTGACGCAAGTCAAGTGCCGCCCCAAACACACACAGAAAGCGTTGCACTATGAGGTGTCAACCGGATTTATATTACAATGTGACTAGCTGGTTGCCAACCGCCAGTTAGAACAAAAGATGAGGAAGAACACACAGGAAGAGAAAGAAAACACACCATGCAGGACGACCACGACAACCAGACAACGACAGTAGCAATTAATCAAAGATGCTCAAAAATACAACAACCAATAACGAGAATAATGGGGGCGTCTGTATTGACGCGCGTCGTATGGTGCAGGTGTGTTTTGGCCTTTAGTCTAGTCATTTAGTGGGCTGGATTGGACCCTTTGGCAGGTCGGTTCTGGCCCATGGGCCGTATGTTTGACACCCCTACTATATGTTTAACACCCCTGCTGTAGGTCATCGCATTGTTCTAGAAATTCACTGTAGCAGACAAAATTTACATTTTAGTGGAGTTTAGTGAGGGCTGGGGTGTCTGGCTTTAAATGCATTTTGTGAATTTGTGAAGTGGATGTTTTCAGGGTGAATCTGGTTGTCACCCCTTAAAGATAAAACTCATTATAGTGTAGATTCACAGTAAGTCAGAACATGTGTCCTTCTGATATGAGATGGAGGTGGCAGTCATTTCACAGCAGCTCATTCACTCTCTATGTATTAATTAGACAAACAGTTTTTAATATATGCTTATCTTCTTTCTGTGTGTTTGTCCATTCGTAGGATCTTCATCTGATATATAGTAGTGTATGTATTTGTTGTAAGAGCTACGCTTTGAGTGTGTGAACATACAGTACCTCATTTTCAAGAGGTGTAAAGGTCCAAGCTGTTCCCCTCTGTTCTCCACACTGAAGGTAGGGTTTAGTAATCTGTTCCCATTGAGGAGATGTGGTGTAATTTAGGTTCTATAACTACAGATTACACTCATCAAGATCCATATGCAATCATGGTAGAGTTCATGATAATGTCTCATTAAACCAAGATGTACATTCATCACAGCCCTTTGTTTGAAATCTCCTGTGAAGGTGAAAATGAAGAAAAGAGGGGTGAGATGGTTTTTGTTTGTCACAGTCCAGTGAATACAATTAAGCTAAAAACAGGTGACTTCTCATGAACCAAGAAGCTGTTTGTGTTTCACATTTGTGGGATAATCCAATGTGGTTTTTAAAGGTTATTAGGCTGACTTTCCCCATATGCTTTAAAGGGACAGTTCACCCCAAAAATCAAAAATTCATATTTTTCTTCTCACCTGTAGTGCTATTTATCAATCTAGATAGTCTTGGTGTGAGTTACCCAGTGTTGGAGGTATCAGCTGTAGAGATGTCTGCCTTCTCTCCAATACAATAGAACTAGATGGAACTCAGCTTGTGGTGCTCACAGCACCAAAAAATACATTTGAAAAACTCAACAGCAATGTCTCTTTCCAGAAATCATGACCCTTGTTGTGAGCAGTTTAATGTAGGAATTATTTTATTTCTACCAAATTGCATCCGCTAACGTTTCACCATGAGAAGGAAGAGTGCATCTACTCATGGATGAGAGGCTCACATATCACCACTTCAGTCAGGTGCACATAAGAAGAGAAATGTGAAAGTCTTCTGCGATTAGACCGCATCCTGATGTCATCTATTCCAGGAGGGTGGTAAAGATGTAGTAAATTAGGGATCGCCCCTGTGGAGTCTAGACACTGGTGGTGGTGATGCAATGAGATGGATGAAAAAGGAGCTTAGGATCTGGGTGTGAAGAGGAGTGGGCTTTTGATGAGGTCGTCCTGGGCTCTGGATAAGGTGGCTGGAGGTGAATGGGATGGGAGAGGGTGTGACAATTTAACCTAGAATGACGGCTGACAGGTGCAGAGGGGAGAGAAGATTTAAAGTTTTGCAGCAGCAACAAAGTGGCAAAGTTTGATTGGCTAACCTAACACCCATAGCCAGCTGATTGGTGGAAGTGATGGGATAGAGAGAGAATTGTGAATGGATAAAGCATAAAGAAACTCTTCCTGATTGAACTTATACTGAGGCTCAGTATAAGTTCAATCATAAAGAAACTCTTCCTGATTGAACTTATACTGAGCCTCATTTAGTCAGTGAACTTTGACGTCTACATATTACACACTAGGGATGCTGGGTGTATCAGTTGTTTACATGGTTGGACAACGTGTCAATTTACGCCTGTTACGTGCATTGCGTTTTTCAAAATACACTTCAGTTTTCACTGGAAATGCACAGTTTATTCTCATTATATACATACAGTCTTTCTAAAAATAAACTTACAACATCTGTTAAACACAGCGTATTTATGTTTATTTCATCGTGCAACAAAAACACGTGGTTGGTGTAGAAAAAAACATCATGGTTTAGCTCTACATTCATACAGGAAGTGAACAGCGGCCTCCTGGGTGAAAGTCCGGTGTTGTTAGACCAATCCACCACCCCTTGCTACTACCCACCCTTTAGGGACTCTCCAGGGCCTTAAATTACATTGTTGTCTGGTGGCGTTTTAAACTGACGCCACCCAGTAACGTTATTAACTGGTGCTACCCAACAGTGTAATGTACCGCCAAGAAAGGATGCATTTTTCATTGGTGTCTGTGCAGAAATAAATGACCAAGCGGCGGTATTTGACGACTTTGAAATGAGAACAGGTTGCCTCCTCAGCTGAGCTGTAACATTCGCTCTCTCAGTGGTGCTAGGTGAGCTAGCAGTGGATGCACGCTTCGTTCTGCGTGATGATATAGTTGGCAGGTGTAGTTCGGTAGAGAGAAAATAGTTCCTACATGACACTGCTCACAACAAGGTCTGTGGATTATCTTTAGTAACTGGGTCATTATTTCTGAAAAGAGACATTGCTGTTGAGTCTTTCAAAGTATTTTTGGAGCATTGAACACCACAAATCAAGTGACATCTTGTTTCATTATACTGGAGAGAAAACAGACATCTCTACGGCTGATATCTCCAGCACTCGGCAA